CTCACCTCAGCCTCCCAAAGGCGCGGGATTACAGGCTGAGCCACTGAGCCTGGCTTGGAAAACCGTTTTTAAAAGTATTTTTTAAGAAAGAAAAATGGAAGGCAAAACTGACCCCATGAGTTTATTTCCCTCTCCAAATGTCGCATTAAAAGTTGGCAGAGAAGACTGGGAATAATGACAGTTTTCTCCTTTCTGATTCTGGGCAGAAATTTTCTCCTTGTCTGTCTCAAGCCTTAGCCATGATGACCAAGGCTGAGTGGACCAGGTGTGACCTCGTGTGCCCTTAATTTGCTCTCGACTCCAAAGCAAAGGGCTTTGCAGGAAATTTGGGGAATTTAAGAAAATTATCTTTTTATTTTTAGATGAAGTCTCACTCTGTCGGCCAGGCTGGAATGCAGTGGCACGCTCATGGCCACCCCAGTGCTGACCTGCTGGGCTCGAGCAATCCTTCCGCCTCAGCCTTCTGAGTAGCTGGAAATACAGGCATGCACTACCACACCCGGCTAATTTTTTATCTGTTGTCAAGACGAGGTCTTGCCAAGTTGCCCGGGCTGGTCTCGAACCCGTGGGCTCAGGCAATCCACTTTCCTCGACTTCCCAAAGTGCTGGGATTACAAGCTGAAGAAAATTATCTTATTTCCAATGTGATTGAGGGTTGCTTCTTTTTGATATCATGAACAGTTTAAATTTCAGTAAAAGCTTTTCCTGCATCTCAGAGGTGGCCATAAAGTTTGCCCCACTGATGTATCTGCAGCTCAAGCTGTAACCTTCTCCTTACCCTCAGCTTCTCCCTTTCTCTACATGCCACCTGCAAGTCCTCGGGAACCCTATGGCTTCACCGACAAAATCCACCCAGCATTTGGCCCCTCCTCACCACCTCAACCCGAGCCCTGGCCTGGCCGCCGCCTCTCCTGCAGGCAGCCTCCCGCTCGCTAGTGTCTGCCTTTGCTCCACGCCTCCGCGTCGCCTGGGTTCCCACACGGCCACAAAGCCACGTGGCTCCCCTCCACCCCCGCAGCTGCCCCTGGGCTCCCGCCCCAGCTCTGTGCCTCCCGCACTCGGACAGCCATTCGCCTGCCACCCCGGCAGACAGACCTCCCCGCCCCCTTGCTCAAGCAGGCCCCAAGCCACGCCACCTCCGCGGCCTCTGTGCTTCCCTCCCAAGCACCACACCTGCGGCCGTGTCTGCTCACCCCTGTGTGCGCACCACGCGGCCTAACTGCAGCACGAGCCCCGCGGGCTGGCCTGGCCCCCGGACGCCCCCGGGCCTGAGTGACGCGCCCCGCCGGGGCCTCACCTGTGCTGTTGGGGAAGCAGGCCTTGTGGAACTTGCCCATGTAGAACTCGAGGCCGATGATGGCGAACATGAGGATGGCAAAGAAGAGCAGCAGCCCGATCTGCAGCAGCGGCACCATGGCCTTCATGATGGACTTGAGCACCACCTGCAGACCTGGGCCGGGGCGGGCGTCAGAGAGCCAGCGGCAAGCCCAGGCCGCCGCAGCGGGTGCACAGGTCCCACGCAGGGGCGGGCAGGGCCTGGGCCGTCTCCGGGCAGGGGGAGGGGCAG